TACTGCTTCCATGCACATTGATTGTGGATCCAAATAAAATGAAGTCCTTAACAATTTCAATGTTTTCTCTGTTTATCATGTTGGTTAGTGGCCCAGTTGTGAAGATTTTTGTTTTCTTTATGTTGAGATGTAATTTTTTAAAATATATTTTATTGAAATATAATTTATGTATAGTGAAATACACAAAACTAAAGTGACATGGGTCAAAGCATTTTTTTTTTTTTTTTTTTCCGCAGTGTTCCCTCCTCTCTCCTCCCACCCCTGGTAACCAGCAAAGAACATTTCCTTCCGTATATAAACCTTTCCTTGACTTTTTTTTTTTTTTTTAATTGTGATTTGGGTGAAACTTTACAGAGCAAATTCACTTTCCATACAGCAGCTGACATACACTTTGTCTCATGACATTGACTACAATTTACCACAATGCAACAGCTCCCCTCACAACTTCCTCCCCATAGTTACCTCTTCCCTGTGTCCTTCCCTCCATGCACTCCTGCCCCCTGAGCTGTCTCCCTGTGCATATATAGCCCTTTTATTCTCCCATGATTGATCTCTCCAAGAATGTATCTAACTATTGTAAATGTTCAGCTCATATACCTGTTTCTGTTTGGCTTGAAGCCACAGGAATGGATTCAGTTCCAGACCTGAAGGGCAGCTAAGGGCCATAGTCTCAGTGGTTCCATCAGGCTCTATCAGACCAGCAAAACTGGTCCCTTTTTTTCCTAGTGATTTTGAGTTTTGTTCCACATTATTCTCCCACTCTAAGATCTCCTACCTACAGAGTCGCCCCCCCCCCCAGTGGTTGACAATGGTAGCCGGGCACCATCTAGTTCTTTTCATCTCATAGTCATATGTGCCAAGGATGGCATGGTGTACCAGTCACTTGGACTAATTGTTTCCATGTGTCTTTAGTTTTCTTCATTCTTCTTTGCTCTGGACAAGGAGAAACCCATTGTTGTATCTAGATGGCTGCTTGCAAGCTTTTAAGATCCCAGTAGCTACTTGCCAAAGTAGGAGATAGAACAATGTTTTTGTGTAGTATGTTATGCCAGTTGAGCTTGATGTCACCTGCAACTATGGTCCCAAGCCCACTGGTCCAACTATTTGCTCCCTCCAGATAGCTGGCTGTGGCCAAGAAGTGACTACAACCTTGTCCCTTGTCAGCTCTTCTATATACCTGGGAATTCTTACAGAACATACAATACACTTGTAGAAAGAAACATTGTCTGCCAACCCTATACATGGTCTTGGGCACACTCCCCCCTATGTGGATATGCCTAATAGTTCAGCCTGCCCACCCATGTATCTGCTGGTATGTCACTGTTTGCCTTCACTGACAGTGCGGTAATGTATGTGCAGAAGGATTCATCTTTGTTGTCTGTACTTCCCATGTACCTCTCTATGTCTTACTTTTCCTCAGTGCCACTGTGTTGATCACTCGCATTTGGTGTATTGCCCTTTTCTTCACCCAAATCAATACTTGTCTCTACCTGTCTACCTCTTACCCCTAGTAACCAACAAAGAAAATTTCCTTCCATATATGTAAACCTTTCCATTGACTTTTTACAGTAACAGACTAGTAAAATATTTGTCCTTCTGTGATTGACTTATTTCACTCAGCATGATGTCCTCCAAGTTCATCCATGTTATGCAGTGTTCTGCAGATTCCACATTATTCTTTAGTGTTGTATACTATTCCATTGTGTGTATGTGCAAGTTTGGTTATCTGTTTTTTCTATTGATGGGCATATGGGTTGTTTCCATGTTTTGGCTATTGTAAATAGTGCTGCGATGTAATTTATATTAAAGGCTTTGATCTTCTATGAAGTCTTTGAACTTCATCAGTAAGTGCTTTAAGTCCTCTTCCCTTTGAGCAAGCAAGATTATGTCATCTGCATATCACAGGTTGTTAATGAATCTTCTTTATATAGTCCAACTTCTTGGATTATGTGCTTAGCATACAGATTGAGTAAGTATGGTGAAAGGATACCACCTTGCCTAATTTTAAGCCTAACTCCTTAACCCTCCCCAAAACACAGCGTCTGGTTTTGGGAGCCAGATTGTAGCAGCAGTTCCTCATTTAGACATGGTAGTGAACTCTCCCCTTCATGTGCACTCGTGCCAGCTGCCATCAGTGGCCATCTGCATGGGCTGGTTGTCATCCTGCTTTGGTGTTTGCACCCAGCTGTAGCACTTGTGCCACCTGCCCCTTACTAGTGCTGCATTCCCAGACCATGTGCTCCTGTCAGCCTTGCTAATTTGTATGGGTGCAAGTATTAGAGGGCAACAAGTCAACCAGAAGCAGAGCTGTCTGTTCTGGCTGTTTGCTGAAGTGTGGATCGTAAACTCTGTGCCAGTAGCAGCTTTAGCTGCCTTTGCCAGCTGTTGGGGATTTTCTGGGCTGGCACAGCTGTTTGAATCAGTGGCTTCCTCCATTGAATATTGTCCAAAAGCAGTTGTTCACTGGCTTAAATGTGTGGGTGGTGGTGTCATGCATAATGTCTGAGAGCAGGCCACATGGTCCTTGCTCACCAAGTTGTGTGTCCTTGGCTTGTGGCACATCATTTCATCTGTCCCAGCTAGGCTCTTCTGTCACGGATTGGGCATTCATTTTGTCAAAATTTCCTAGGTGTGGTTTTTCTTCAGAAAAAAAATTGGGGAGCTAGAGAATTCAAGAGGAGCCCATCCTCAACCCTCACCCACATGTTTTTGAATAACCATATCCTTTACATTTGAAATGAAAGCAGAACTATAAAAACTTTATTCTCCCATAAGGAATTCTCCCGTAAGGTAACTTACCTGTGGTCACAGTAACAGCCTTAGAGGGTAAATGCAAGGTGTCCCCTCTCAAACAACATCAGTAGTAGAATATAAAATTTACTCTTGTGAAGTGTAAGTAGTTTGGGGTCTATCCCCAGTGTGACCTCAGTCCTCTTGGTGTCATTCTGACTATGGATACCCAGTCAGGCCCCATTCTCCAGTCCCACTGAGGATGCAGTAACACCAGGGTTTACAGTAGAGATTTATCATGAAGCGATTGCTCAGCCTACCTCTGCGTACAGTTTCTTCATTTTAGTAAACTGTGGTTTTATTTTGAATCAGCCTTTTTCAACCTATTAATATTAACTAAAATTAACCTTCCCCTAAATTATTCTCACATAGAAGCAGGAAAGTAATTTTGAAAGTTAAATCAAAACAAAGCAATCTTGTGTGTAAAAAAGATAAAAATCACAGACTGTGTGGTTACAGAGTGCCTCTACAGGAATTGCTTACATAAAGCTGATTTCCTCCAATCTTGTTATGGAAGGAAAAAGGGAAATGCCCTGGCCTTATCACCATCCCATTATGTCAAACAAGTGCTTGAGAGCTTGTGTAAACAGTGGAGAAAAGGGAGCTCCAGTTGCAGCTGGTATCTATGGATAATGTTTTGGGTCTGTGAGGGGACAGTTATTATGGCCGTGGTTCCTGTGATGGTGAATTAGAAGCACCCCCCTTCCAGGATGAGAAGGAAATGCATCAAATGCTGTAGACAGCTGTGACAGGCTGGCATCATATGTGCATTGCTCATTAAAGAGAGGACCAATGTGAAGGTCAGACTTGAACAGTGAAACAGATTGCAGCTCCTCTGGTTGAGGACCTCACACTTACCAGTCAGAGGGCAGTGGTAGCTCAGTGGTAGAATTCTCACTTTCTCTGTGGAAAACTGAATTCAGTTTTCCAGCCAGAGAAACTCGTGTGTAGTCACCACCTGTCTGTCAGCAGAGTCTTACATGTTGCTGTGAATACTGAACAGGTTTCAGTGGAGCTTCCAGACTAAGATAGTCTAGGAAGAAACACCTGGTGACCTACTTCTGAAAAACAGTCCGTGAAAACCCTGTAGATCACTGTGATCTGTTCTGTAACTGATCACGGAGATGGCACAGGATATAGGCAGTGTTTTGTTGTGTTGTGCATGAGGTCACCATGAGTCAGGGGCTAACTTGAAGGCAGCTGACAACCACAGCAACACTTAGCAGCCCTACAAAGCAGACTATAACTCAAAATTGGCACCCTGGAAGACCAGAGAACCTCTGCAGCTTTCAATAATTTGGCATTTTCCCTGTTTTTTTTTTTTTTTTTTTTTTTAATTTCTCAGATTGAGGTAAACACATGGTGGTCACTGGAAAAGAAACTTTTATATTATTCTTATTCATTGCTCTTTGCTTCTTCCTCCCTGCACTGCATATGGGGGACTTAAGGTTGACTGTTCCTGTCTCCTCCAGACTGTGCCTGGCTATGGTGTTTACCCCACGGAGCCGCTCAAGAGTGGCCCGAAGGGCAGTGGTGCATCAGTACTGGCCCAGCATCTGTGCTATATTTAGCTTCCTGGGGCAAATTACACCAAATGACTGGTTTCTTAAATAAATTACAGCTACCAGAAATTCATTCTGTGGGAATGTGAAACATGTTTGAATGTCAGTAACTTGAATCATAAAATAGTTACTTCATATCTACCAGTTCATTCCTCCCTTTCTTTTCCCCACCCCTTGCCATTTTTTATCGGCAACTCCAGTGACTGAGGGTAGCTTTCCCCAGGCACCACTATAGAGGTTGTGGGGATGTTCATTTGTAAGTAGTTGGTGTGTTTCCTGACCAAAGTGGTACTGGCCAGTGATGGCACTGCCTGTAAAAAGGATTATGTGGCTTTTAGAAGGTCAAACTGGGCTTTAGGGATTCTCTTTTGCATTTCCCAAACATTGTTTTCATTGCTTTTTCTAGAGGAAGAAAAACATCACCTGGTGACCCTGCCCTTTTTGTAGTAACTTCTTCCCTTTGCCAGGGAAGAGAAATGAGTTAGCCATCTCAGGGAGGAATTGGTGCTTTGATGCAACAGCAGTTTTTAAAGGGTGCCTTCCATAGCTCTTAAGATAGGATTGGCTGTTCATTTAAACATGTGTCCAGTCCTCTTGAAAGACAATTAGAAACTAAGAAACTAAAAAGTTTTCCTTTTGTTGTTCCAGGTGTTTTTGAATAATTACCAAGAAGCCGAAGACCACCCCCAAATGGTTATCTTACGAGTGTTGCGTTATATCATCCGCCTGGTGTGGAGAATGCAGTGATGGGTTCTTTGAGCAGCAGAGATGTGCAGAGACATTCTGATCATTCAAACCAACAGGTCAGAGCACCATGGTCTCTTGGTGCCATAACTATGCAGCCAGCGGTTCTTTGCTAGAGAAGGAGTGTGGAGGAGCAGGGCAACATCATGGTTCTGAAGATGCCAAGCTGGATGTGAACTTGACCTTCTGCTCATCACCATGTGGCACAATTTTTAAGTGGAAGTTTGTTGTGAATGTAAATGTTGGAGGATTTTTTTTTTAATGTACAAATCATGATTTTTTGGAAGAGGATTTTATGCAAGAATGGTGTTTACATGTGGTGTGTTTTTTTTCACCTTCTTTAATAAGAACAGGTTTTTCAAAAAGGAAATGGAAACTTTTTGACAAACTCATGAATGATTTTTGTACTAAAATTTTAAGAACATATTGCCTACACTCAGAGGGTTATGTAAACTCTGCAGTGGAAACTGAGCCAGCTGATTTATAAAGCTGCCTTAGTTTATTTTTAGAGATTACTGTATAGAACTTTTAAACAGGGAGAGGTATGATATGCCCCTTCTCTCACTTCCCTGCCATTGCTTTTTTCTTTTACTTTTTTTTTTCATTATTATTAATACCAAAAGAGTTCTTCTGAAATGGAACTGATAAAGGGGCAAAAGGTCTACAGCTAGCCTGTGTTGATATGCCGCACCCATGTTGTAAATATTCACTTACCTCTTTCAGTGCATCTGTGGCAAAACTCCAGGCTGTTTTTAAGTGTTTTTCCTGTATCTCCTTTTGTGATGCTCCTCTCATCTGTCTGGGCACTGATACACAGATGTGGTCCAGAGTATTTTCATAGTAAAGGGTGACAACAAGAGATGGTATCTGCCTATATCACACACAGCCTCATCTGTCTGTTGTTAGCACTAGCCAGGAAGTGCTTGGTGTTGGTGTTCACTTAGTTTTGATGGACTTGTCATTTAGAAATGCTGTGAAGAGGTAATAACAGTATAACAGCAGACAATGTATTACATATTACAGCCAAGAGTACTGTTGGCTTTCCTGGGAACAGGCTTGTCACAGGATGAGCTGTCCGCATGAAGTCCAGATGGTCCACATACCCCAGTGCAGCACAGTGTGGTGCAGGAATTCATGCTGGTGCCTTCCATGCACAGCTGTGAGTGGCACAGCCTGCAGGTTGGTAGGCTCCAGATGTACTTTCTGGTATGCCCTGGCTTTTAATCCATTTAGGTCCACCTGACCTTAGATGCCTAATACTTGGTTCCTATTCCTTCAAATCCACTTTGAATATAGGCTTAATTCAGGTTTCACCAGTACCACAGACAAATTCAATTGGATGTGAGTCTGAAATGACCCCTCAGTCTTCAGTCAGATGTCCTTTTTACTTTCTCCATTTCTCTTGTGACAGTCTGATGCTGTTGGGCCCCCAGTGTATCCATGGCCGTGGCTGGTGCTCCTTGTGCATACCCCTACCTCTGCAGTGAGCTGGAAGCCTGCCTCCTGGTCAGTCATTGCAAAGGCGTTCAAACAGCTAGGGAGGCGCAAGAGACAGATTAGGGAGCAATGAATGAGGGGTGGCAGGATTACTCTGTGAACCCTGTAATAATTACAGTTTTTCAAATCTCAGATCATTAAACAGATTTTTAAAAGACATGAATTTTCAAATGAGTCAGTGGTGCCAACAACTATTATGTTTGCTTTTGCCCTATAGAGAACTAGTGTTTTTATATGATTAAATTAAGTGAAAAAAATCCATTCATTTATATCTTCATAATTATATATGTAGTTTTACATATCTATATAGTTATATAGATATAATTTTTCCTTTAGGTAGAAATAATTTGATTGCAAATATTACCCCCCACCTTTTTAATTTTCTGTTTTTCCCAAAAGTCTCCTTGGGTTTTGAATATTTTTTTAAGCTATATTGGATCTTTGCTTGTGTTCTTGATGTGTCTTGAACCCCTGTGTAGGGTCACAAAGTCCATGGTTGTAAGGAGGTGTGAGAAATACAGCCATGGACTGGCTGGACACACACCAAAGATGTATTTGGTTCTGGGTCTCTCTCCTCCCAGGATCTCCATAGTCACGTGCCAGTCTCTCCGGCTGGAGCACTTTATTCTGTTTCTTCATCCCGCGGCTCCCGGGAGTGGTGCAGGATGAGCCCCGGGGCTCCACTGCTGGTGCCCAAGGGCGTGGCAGCCTCCAGGCTGGCTGTGGAAGCAGCTGGTGAGGAAATCAGAGATTCTATGAATTGTAGAAGTATTAAGAATATGGAATGTTGGCACTAGGAAGTAAGAGATGACTAGATGTCTCTGTACTGTATGTATCTGTTTATCAAGATGCCTCCCTGCAGGAAATATACCTACCATTGGTATGCCTTTTCCTGTCTCCCCACGCCCCTTTTTTTCTTGGCAGAAAAAAATAACTAGATCCCTTTTTTTGAAAACTTAATGTGGGTTTTGTGCCTTGACAACCTCTACCCACATGAGGTTTGTAGAAAGTCCTGTGGCTTAATAGTGAAATGCAATAAACACACAAAATGACTTCATAGGTGAGTCTTCCAATGACCCGTCCTCTTTTCCTAACCTGCAGCAATGATTTTATGAAGAATTTCCCGTGGTTGTGGACAAACCAGTTTAAAATTTCTTCTGATCAAAACAAATGTGCAGTAGAACACATTTTTCTCCTGTTTCCCCTTCTTAATATTGTATATATTTTGACTATTTATTAGATTAGAAAGTCATATTTTACTTATCAACTGAGCCAAATGTCTGTGCAATTGTGTTTTCTTTACCTTTCTTGTAAAATTTTGTACAGCATAAATAAGTAAAAATCACTGTTTTTCTAAACTTTTTCATAATTGAGGATTGTAAATATTGTAGATTCCCTTTCTGTGTAATAATGTGTCCTACTGTTTCATAATGCTGTAAGTTGTAGAAATATTGTATATTTATTTTCTGCTTATTTAATATCTTAAGTTCTAAAAGTATTGACTTCCCTGCCCCCACCCTCTGCAGTCTCCCTAGATGCTGTAGCACCCAGTGGTCATTGGTCAGCTCATTGCAGGCTGTAGGTCTTCCCTGGGGGGTGGGCAGCCCTCTGGCTCTAGTTCCTGGTAGCTCAGTCATAGGGGTATAAATTCTTGAGTTTTGTTATCTTTTTGATGAAATCTGTGTTTAATTGCCAATGACAGACTGTAAATCTGACACCTACAGAATTCAAGTCCAAGAAAACCCAGCAACTTTCTATTTGTTACAAAGCAACTGGCTTCTCATAGAGGGAAATTATGTTAACTCCAGGCTCTATCTTAAAATAAAATATTATCAGAAGTTGGGAAAGATTTTTCCATTGAAAATATACCCACTGACAATTCAATGTTCAGAGAAATAAAAAGGTGCCAGTTTTGGAGGTCTGCCATGAGGTTGTCCAGGACAAGGGCCAGGCAGGGTGGAGGTACGGGTGGACCACACCTGGCTGGGACCCCTTAGCCTGGCAGTGTTGCTCCTGCTTTGAGAGCAGCTTCAGGACCACCTCTTGCCACTAACCCCTTGTGAGTAACCGAGGAGTCTGAATTTTCCCCTACCCACTGCATAGCTTTCTGTTCACTGACATGTGGACTAGTAATTGTCTTCAGGAGCTAATTGTACAAGATCCAAGACCCCCATATCCCGAACTACACCAGCGTTTGGCCAGCCTGCTTCTTCAAGTTGATATCCTCCTTCCACTTTGTCCTCATCCCCTTTGAGAGAAGTTGGGGGTCCCCCACTGGACTGGGTGTAAAGATGTGAAAGCTCATGGAAGCTTTAGGGCAACTTAACTAGTGGTTACATGTAGATGGTTACATCATCTCTGCTGACTTAGCCTGGTGCCTGTGTGTGTCCACTGAGCACATGTGTGTGCATGGATGTGTTCACATGTGACACCAAGTCAGTCAGGGTAATGCCTATTTTACCACAAACACCTGTGTATAAGAAGCATCCTCAGGCTCCCAGCTAGATAACTTGACTACTTTTATTTGGAAATGTCAGCCTTTAGAAGCTCTCTGAAGTTGTATATCCAGGTTCTTAGACCACTTGTTACTGTATCAGAACTCATCAGGTACCCATTTATAAATAGCACTGATCTGTCTGTATACTGATTCATCACTAACTTGTTTCCTAGGACCCAGCGTATGTAGCATTTGTATTGCAATTTCCCTGGCTTACTTGTGTTTTGCACTGATGAATTTTGACAGGGTAATTGCCACTTTACTTGTGCAATACTGCTGTAAATAACTGCAGATTTTTTAAAAAAAAAAAAACTCGATCTTTTATGTTCTTAATAAATTTTATATAAATAAAACTTTCAACTAGTTTTGGTGAGCTGTTTGATTTGTTTCACAAAATGGAGAAGCAGGTAGCTGAAATTACTTAAATGTGTATGTGTGTGTGTGTACACACCCATACATTGGCTCTTTATCATTCAGAATGTTTTACCTTGTATGTAAATTTTTAATTTCTTACTTGAAAACAATTCTATGTAATATACTTAAAAGCAAACTAGTCTTCAAAGATTTGAAGTGGCTGGTAAGACTTTAAAGTATCTGCCCACGTTCATAGTTAGATATGACTCAACACCTGATGAGAGAAGGAGGGAATGTATTAGGAGACGGCTCTGAACTGTATTGATTGATCAGTGGTTACATCAGACCACCTGCCATCTTGCCTGTGTCCTAATGTAAAGAACTTTTTTTAAAAAGAGAGAAATTGTGACTAGGAAAGGCTGTGTCTGTAGTTACCTGCTCACTGTTGGAGGGGTCAGCTGGCAAGAACCTGAGCCTCTTGAGTAAACGGATCACAGCCTCTTTATAAAGGAGCTATTGAGTTTTGGGAGCCCCATGGTGTGCAGTGAGTGTGAATTTAGGCATGATTGAGAAACTAAAACCTGCTGTAGAAATTATTAACTACTGTCGAGTTATAGCCCAGGATCATGTTGACACCATGCATGGTAGGATTGGC